ATACATATACATATTATACATATATATATATATACACGTGTGCTCGCAACCATAGCTAGAGTTAAAGCCTCAGCCATACGTGGCAATTCAGGCGCATGAACCTAAGAGTAGAACCGTAGGAGCCGTGTGCAAAGCACCTGACAAGGTCTGAGATTTTGAGCCCTACCCTACATGTGATTCCGGTACCCTGGATAGGGCGAGATAAGGGGATAGGTAGGATTGCTAGCCCAATGATAAGTGGCTACAAATTCCAAAATCCTCCAATAAGTGTCACAGGTAATCAAAAGGGGTCTTGCCCTTTTGTTACCATAAGGGTCCAAGTACCCAAAGAATGGAGATCCAGAAAACAAGAACCTAAAGGCTTTTGGCACATGAAACTCCAGTTGTGCCCCTCCAAAATTGGCTTTTTAGATCCACGACAGTATAGTCAACATGGCTCTTGGTACCTCTAGCTCCTATTATTTCCTAAACCCTAAACCCTAAACCCTATTGCTGGGGTATTTGGACCCTCAGGTTGAGGCGTGCCAGCCCATACTTCCCATTTACCGAAGGCCTTTGCATTACTTGCCTGCAGGAAGCTGTCAGAAATACCAACCGGCTTGAGCCGTAGTAATCCAAAACTCATTTAAAGGGGAGTGGCGGATTTAATGCAAGGACTGTTGAGACCGCGCCTAGTCCTCTAGACCCAACCCCTTTTTTTTTAACTATCTAACTTTATGTCTAGTATTCCTTATATACAAAATTAGGTACCCCTAAAAGGGGTAGGGTATAGAGGTCTAGGTAGTAGGGGATTACATACGGATTCTTACATGAATCCACCTCTCGCATGAGCTCCATTAACCCTTGAACCCAAGGCCTAAAGCCTAAACCCAAATTCTAAACCCTAAACCCCAAACTCTAAACCCCAAACCCTAAACCCCAAACCCTAAACCCTAAGCCCCAAACCCTATAAACTCTGCTAAGGGATCTTAGCACCTGTTGTTGTAGGTGAAGGCTCAATACCGGGCCTTGCGCATGGTTTGAGGCATCCAGGTCTCATGCAGGTGGATCCTCAGGATTTTGAGGTTTAGGTTTAAGGTGCTTAAGGTATTTTAGGTTAAGAAGCTATGGTGATTTCGACCTTTGTTTTTGCGGTTCAGGTTTCAACCCTTTCCTCGGGGCTTTTGGGCTTTGGGCTTTAGGCGACAGGAGCTTCGTGGTGCTCTTTTGGGACATCTTCGGTAGAACAAAACGAAGGATGGGGTCCGGAACTTACACCCTGAATACTATCATGCTGACTTGAGAGACATTTCAAAGGAGGGGATCGCAGTTTTGCATTATGGTCGTTTTGAATGCCTGCCCTAAAGGGGGCTAAAAGGAGTTTCTGATGTAGGCATTCGGCCTTGTTTGATACGGGAATTTTGCTTTCCGCAATCCCCAGACGACGGATCCTATGAATCCTATGACTATCACATGACTTTCATAGGACCCTCTTTGTAAAGGTCGAAAAAAGGTGTTCATGTAAAGGTGCACGCCTTTTGGTGCTGGGAAAATTCGAAGGCTCTGCTTGTCGTTTTAAAGCATTTGTGAAAGGCTCACGGTGCAGGGACTTGACGACAGACTGTAACTGAAAACTGAAAACATGCGAGCTTGCTGCGAAAGCTCCTAAAACCTGAGCCCTCGGCCCCGAAACTCTAAGCCCTCAACGCCCTAAGCCTCGTAAACCGTGCTGCTCCTTGATTACCCTAAGGCCCGGAACCCTACTTTGGGGTTTGGGGTTTAGAGACTTAGAGTTTGGATTTTCGGCTTTAGGGACTCGAAAAAGCACATACTTTACGGGATCCTGGGATTACTAACGGCTTTGGGTGAGAGGGCTTCGGCACAGCCAAAAGTTGTTGCCAGCTCCCTGAAAAGACACCCGGAACCCCCCAGTCAAAATCCCTAAACCCTGAACCCTACGCCTTAGGGTTAAGGGTTTAGGGCTTAAGCCCGAATCAGACCTCAAAGCCCCTATCCGAAGGAGCCTATGTGAGTCATATGGTAATCATAAGTTCGGCTCCCTCAACCCTAACCCTGGAATCCCTAGACCCTAGACCCCAAACTTACTGGTGGTTAGTGGGAGTAGCGGAGTTTTATTATATAGGGTTCCCCTATATTCCCTACTATGCCCCATGAGTAAATCCTAATACCCCTAAACCATAGACCCTAAACCTTAATTCAGCAGAGCTTCAGATACGAGCGCTCGATGTTGTGGACGATCGCGCGCATACCTAGGATGTCTGGCGAATATGGGATGGATTTGGGGTTCAGGGCACGCTTACTTTAGGAACCCTAAGCCCCTAAACCTAAAACCTAGACCCTAAACTTTCGGGTTTAGGGATTTAAGGTTTGGGGGCTAGGGATTCAGGTTTTTAAGGTCTTAAGTCTTAAGGGTTCAGGGAATTTCGGGTGCAGGGCTTCGGCATGAGAAGCTACGTGGAACCCGGCCTAACCTACTGCTATCAAAATGGGGAGAAACTTGTATGGGGATCCCTGTTACACTAGGAACCCCACTATGGGGACTCGTATTACAATCAATTCAGGGAAACCCCCAGGTAGGTCTATTGCGGCGAATCAAATGCGAAAGACCTGGTCTCTCGCCTTCTTGCGCATGAACGCGTTTGCGAGTATAGATTAAGTTATATATGCGCTGTTTGTAGGAACTTGACCTATCGTAGCATCGCTTGCAGTCTGGCATCGCCATCATCTGGAAGGCTCTTTGTTTCAGGTTCTGATTGCAGAGGCGTCCAGACACCAAATTCGCAACACCGTATCACCAATCATACTGGCAGTGTGGGCCATAGCTGCGATAGCAACCCTAAACCCTAAACCCTAAAATAGCAGGGGTACACATACCGGACTACAGCCTGCGCTCTTCCACTAAACCACCCCAAAACCAACCCAGGACCCTCATCGGTCAACTTTAGGGCTTAGGGTTTAGGGTTTAGGGCTTGGGCTAAGCAGAGTTACTTCATTCTAGCCCCTGTGTATCAGCCCCAAGTCTTTCTCAGCTGGTCACGTATTGGGACAATACTCAGGGCACATAATCTTTATATTCACACCCGGAGTAGAGAAAGCAAAAGAAGACCACAATCATGATCTTGCTCAGAATGAATATAGCAGTATTTTTACAATCAAACATAATAGCGGTACAATAGATAGTACACCTAATACGGTAAAAAACAAGGGTATATACAACAAAACACCGTAAACTCTAATCCCTAAAGCCCAAGACCCTCAAGCCCAGGTAAATAACACACTCTTAAAAGGCAACAGCAAAAGCAACAACTTGGTCTAAGTTCGCTCCAGACTCCCGACCTGAACCCAATGAAATTTGTATAAATTATTGAATCCCACCTTCTAGGGTTTAGGGTTTAGGTTCATGGTTGTATAAGCCCAACTCCTAGGTCCTAAATCCAAAGCCCTGAAACCTAAACCTCCCTATAAGAAGCCAACTGAGCCATTGTCTAAACTCCTAGTATCCCCCTTAATAACCCCTATAGTAGTCCCCTATATAATCCCCTATATAACCCCCCTTAAAGGAGGTTAGACTATGGCTCAACTGACCCAGTTAGCCAGGCTAAGCCGTAAACCCTGGAGACTCCAGGCGCTGACAAATAAAAGTTGTCTAGTGCCCAGAACAGAACCACACACTCTAAAGGTACATTTTTTGAACCCTAAACCTTATAAACTTGCCTAAATCCTAGACCCTAAACCCTAATCCCCAAACCCTGAATCCTAAACCCTAATCCCCAAACCCTGAGCCCTAAATCCTAAACCCTAAACCCAATCCCCAAACCCTGAACCCGAAACCCTAAACTCCAGAGCCTGGATACCCGCGACACCTCGCTCGTACAAACAGCGGAAGTTCTCATCGCCCTGAGAGGCTAATTAGGGCTTAGGGTCCAGGATCTAGGGTTTAGGGCTTAGGGTTTAGGTTTTTAGGGTTTAGGGTCCAGGATCTAGGGTTTAGGGTTGGGTACTTCTAAAGTATGGCGCATGTGCAACCGTCGCAACTCCCTCGTCCGTTCTCTTCCACAAGTAAGCTGAACACTTATAGGGGTATGTGGGTCGAAAAGTTCTGCTGTATCTACTTCGAGAAGACAATTGCTCTTGTCATGGGAGTTCAATGAGAATGCAGGGTTTCCCCTACAAAGCGAACATGACTATCCTAATACGGTAGGGGTATACTGGCGTTCAGGGCTCTGGTATTAGGGACAATGTTGAGTTGAGAAATCTTCAAATGTCTGATATGATCGTATGCCTTTGGTCTTCCTTATAGCAAGCCGTTTCTGGACCCTATACCCTAAACCCTGAACCCCAAGCCCTAAAATCCCGGATCGCTAAGTTCCAGACTCTGGTCCAGAAATGTCAACCTAGCTACGAGTCTTGAAATGCAATTGATCTATGTAAAACGAATTGATATGAGTCAGGGGAGGATCATGTAGGGTTTGGGTAACGGCACCCATGTTTAGACCACCTTATGCATGCAAGTCAAAAAAGTACCCGGTTCTGAGAAACACACAAGATCCCAGCCCAATGGCACTGGAATCAACAGTAGGTTGAGGGGTTCAGTAAACCCTGATCCTTAAACCCTAAAGTTCAGGGTTTGGGTTTTAGGGTCTGATTGCTACGACTGTAGATGTGGGTTGAAACGCAGTGCGCAAGCCCACAGACTGGACAACTGTAAAAGGGTGGGTTTAGGCTTCAGGGTTTAGGGCTTAGGGTTTAGGGTTTAACAAGGGGATTTAGTTACCCAACCCCGAGAGATTGGATCTTACTATAGTCATGTGATAGCGCTAGGGTCCTTTTTGTAGGGGTTGAGGTAGCTGAAGCCCCCTTATTATGATGTTGAAAACTTAAACTAAGCTACCACAATGATGGAGAATCATGTGGGACAGAACACAGACAATGACATCGAAACTGGGTGAAGGAATGTAAGCTCAGTTAACAGCAGCCTAGGACAAAACCCCTCTAACTCCACTTTGGAGGTTTTGAGGTTTAAGCTTTAAGGCTGAGAGTTTAGGGTTAGGGTTGTACACTCCCCAAACTAACATGGAACCTGTGACAAATCGTCGAGATGTCCTTCCAACAGGTGGACAATATTCCATCGCCCAAGCCTGGAACCCGAAACCAACAAAAAATCAAGCCTGTACCACGGACCCCTTAACCCTAAATTCCAAAGCCCAAAAGCCTTAGTCCTAAGCCCTAAAGCCTTAATCCTAAGCCCTAAACCCTAGTTATCCTTCAGATAGCCTTGAACCCTGAAACCTTAACCCTAAACCATAATCCCTAAACCCTATAGACCCTAAATCCTAAGCCGTAAACTCTACCCTAAACCATAGTCCCTAAACCCTATAGATTTGGGGATCGAGCTAAGCTGAGGACGAGGCCAAGCCTAACCGCGCCCGCTTGGAGGGTCATGGGGGGACTTGGTAAGTACAGTCATGGTAGGTTTAGGGTTCAGGGTCAGGGAGACTTAGTAAGTAGGTGAATTAAGGATGGGTATAATTGGGGCTATCGTGTGTCGTATAAGGGGTCAGTAACCTACTCCCTCCGTGCCCATGACCCTCCAAGTAGTGGACACTCAGCCGGAAGGCTTGGTGCCTCGATGCATGAATCTGCCTTGGAACCCTCCCAACAGTAAGTTCAGTCGTAGACTGGCCATGCTTGATAACCCGAAGACTAGAAACTATTTGATACTTTCGACTGAGTAAGTAGGTTTATAACCCCTATAGGCCATATGATAACCTCAATTGTCCCCATTAGTAAGCTACTTACTGAGCCCCCATGACCCACCCCAAGTAAGCCTAAAACGGAGATGACTCGCCCCAAGTAAGCCTAAAACGGAGTCCTCCAGAAAGAATTTCGTCTCGTTCTGTCCTGGCTTCTTCCCCTAAAGGTCAACAGGACAGTGCTCCTACGGGTGATACCATAGGTCCCTTTAAAAGGGTTCTAGTAGGATGTTTAGAATTGGGGGCTGTAGGTTTAGGTTTAGGGGCTCTTGGAGCAACATTCCTTCTCATGCACGGAATGTTGGGCTTTGATGCTAAGAACTTGACTACTCCAAAGGGCTTGCAGGCATTGCTGTTTTGGTTTAAAGGCTGAGCAACCAGGAGCTCGAGATGTAACGAAGCATATGATGAGGGCAAGCTCTCGTGAAGCATCTGGTTTCCAAAAAACGTAGATCCAAAGTTCTTACAATCCTTACTATGGGGACCCCCCAACAAGGAACCCCTTTATTTGGAGACCCCCACTTGGAGAAGAGTCTCTGTCTCATAATGTGAGCTTTGATGCTATATGGCGAGTGAAGCCCTGAGGAGGCAGACAAACAAATTTGTTGGATAGACACTGAAACCCCAAGCCTTACACCCTAACCCTCAACCCTAAAGCCTAAACCCGCCACTATCTACAAATCCCTAGGGTCTCCAAGGGCAGCTTCGCCTTCGCCAGGCCTTGCCTTGACGGGGTACTTGTCGGGCCACTGCAAATGTTAATACCACATATACTGTATGACCTTAGTATATTGTAATACTGGAATTCCCAAGGGTACAAGATACTTAGGGTCCTGCAGGAATTTAGTATTCACTGATTTTTGGGCTGGCTTTGGATTGGAACTGTTTGCGTCAGAGCTTGTTCTAACATAATTGGCGGTAATTTCATTTCTTGCTCATACACACCACTAAGTAATTTGGCCCTACTTAGATGGGCTGGGAATTAGCTGTCAATGTGGTGTTATAAGGGTCATGTGGGGATACATGGGCGTGTAAATAGAATACTAAGCATGTAGTGTCCCGGGGCCATCTAAGTATGAACCAGGGTGAAGATGTCTGTATATTCCGCTACAAAGCAAAAATGCAGTTGAGCACCACCAACCCGTGCCTGAAAACAAAAGCCCCTTCGGTTGAGACTAAAAGGTTTAGGGTTTAGGAATTTGCGAAGTTGCATGACCGAAGAGTATCATACCTTGAGAACTGAGAACCGTTGGTATTCTGGTATACTGAAGTCATGCAGCAGTTCTATGTGCACCCAACCCTAAACCCCAAACTCTATGCAAAGTATCCATTAATGTGAGGATCTCCCATGCAGCAGGAGAATGCCATTTGGAATTTACAGTTGATGCTTTGGGGGGCTGGGTTCAGGGTATAGGGTTGCATGGTGAGTCTGAGCTCCTAGACTCATAGGCCATAGGCTCCGTTACCACCTCCGCATGTGCTGCATCAGTGTAAGAGGCTGGGGTGAGGGAATCTATGATAAACCTTACAACCTTCACCCTGCACTTCTTAAACCCTAAACCCTAAAAAGTAAGACCAGAAACCCTGGGGTATCGGCATGTTCTTCCCTCCTGTTCCGTACAGGTGTCCAGTATTTGTCCCGTACTCATCCCCTTCCAAAAGCCATGCAGGCACCTAAGTTACCAGCCAAACCGCGCCAAACCCTTCAGTGAAGCAAGGGTTGAGGGTTTAGGCACGGTTTACGGTTCAGGAACACATTACCACAGGCATCCACAGGCATCCGCGTTGATGGCCTTAGTTAGGATAGACCTGAGCGACTGCACTGCACAAGCAACAGCCCTCTCGGCGGCTGTGGTGTTTTGGGTTTGGGTTAAACCCTCACCGGAGAACAAGTGCCCTCAACGACATACTGACTGTCGCCATCCACCACAACCTTCTTTCTTTGTGCAGAATCAAGTTTGTCGGCCAAGCTATCTAGCTCATCGGTCACATCCTTGTTGAAGTGTCGCACGACTCCGCACATCAGCCTAGTTGTCATGTTCAGCTCATCCGCTGTGTGCTGTTCATCCCAGGCTGCAGCGTCCAAAGACGCCACCGCCCCACCTGATGACAGGTGTTTGAGCACCAGCAGCCGCTGAAGGACCATGTGTTTAGGCGATTTCAACAGGCAACTGTAAGCTAAGTTCTGAAGGATCGGTTTTGCTGCACTCTCGACTCTCGAACAGCTCGAAGATACCAGCCGAAGAATAATCCACTGGGAACAGACGTCTGTGAGCTATCCCCAGCTCTATCTTTAGCATAGGACGAGATTTTATGGTCATGTCCCCATTTGGCACCTCCACTGGGCGTAACAGAGCATTGAGACTCCTTTTGCCCACTAGTTTTGAGGACGACTCCACGCCCGGCAAACCCTCCAATGCTAGCTCTCTTGCTCGAACGGCGCCTCCGCCATGGCCCCCCGGCACATTCCAGATCCTCTCTGAATTGTAATCCGAGACACCCATTTATCTTCGCTCTGTTGGGATACGGTTTATCGCCTCGGCAATTTCAACTCCCAATCTACCATAATGAGCAGCCACGCTCCACTGGCCAGCTACATGCAATCTCCTGTGCACAGGGCGCTTTTGTCGGTCCTCCATTTCCACATCCAGCGGGGCCTTTTCGCCAAAATGGCCACGCCATTACAGATTACTATTTCTCTTCCATTTCTTCGATGACTTACTCTAAACCTATACATGCTCTGTACAAATCCAAGAGACCCTTAACTTAGGTACCTGAAAAACTGATTTCTGGTCATAGGACTTATAGAGGGATTAAGGCCATGAAATAGCTTCAAACCTGCCACTGCTAAGGGCACCCTAAACCCTAAACCCTAGCCCGAAGCCCATTCAAAACTCACAAGATGTCCTTGGACTTCTAACCTCTCGAAGTTGTTTGAGTACGTGCCCTGACAGCAGGCAACTTGGGAAGTCGTGGCTCAGGGCATCGGGCTTAGGATTTAGGGGTTAGGATTTGGGACGGAGGTCTTAGGGTTTGGGATATAGCATTTGGGGATACAATTTGGGGTTTAGGCCGTTTGGTTGGGGGTGTAAAGTTTAGGGTCAGGACTTTGGGTTTTGGGTTTAAAATTTTAGGGTTCAGCCAAGCTTAATGGGTTTAGGGTGTAGGAACTCCTTCCGTCAGCACCTTGAGAATTTCATTTTGGGGGTTAAGTTTTGAGAGTTTTACATGGGGTGCAGGATACGCCCCTGTGACTTTGACATATCATTTGCTTCTGTGCTTATGACCATACATGCTGCAGAAGATGCCTGCGGAGGTGGAACTCAATATGCAACAGGTACTACAGTAGCAGTCACCAATTTGTGGCCTTGCAAGGGCTTACAGAGGATGTGCTGATGCATGGGCGTGTCCCCTCCGGAGAAGGTATCAAGCTTTCTGTAGCCGCAGGTTTCAGGCGGCGGCAATCGGGTAGTTAGTTCTAACAGCAGGGATCTCCCCATGATACCACCCGCAACCCTAAACGGCCCTAAACCCTAAACCCTGGACCCAGCCCCTAAACCCTTCAATCGCTCAGTTTTGGGACTTGAAGAAACTCAGTCTGATCTTAGAGCGCCTAAGTGACCTTAAGATCCTAAACTCTAAGCCTTAACCGTCTACTTCACCTCCCGCGAATATTGAAACACCCCACCCTCCCAGTATTAGATCTTCTCATTGTTGTATATGTTAACATAATAGGTTCGGACCATTTTATTCTAGGGAGGTGGGGGATTTAAACGCTGAAGTGGGATTTGCAACATGTCAACTTGTTCCACCTCGCAAGCACAGAGGTGCTTGTCTTGGGCGCAGGGGGAATATACTTGCCACAAATTGCCCTAGGTATATGAGCTGTAGTCTAAACTCCTCAAAGGGGATGCTAGGAGTGTAGACTATAGCGCGTAGAGGGTTGAGGGTTTAGCTTAGGGCGTTCAGAGAACAGAGGCTATACTGGACTTCCAGAAGGACCCCAATGTCCGCCCTTTATGGTCTCTGGTAACCCTAACCGTGAACCCTAAACCCCAATCCCTGAACCCCAATCCCTAATCCCTAAACCGCAAACCCTAAACCTCAAACTCCTCAAACCCCTAAACCCTACACCATAAACCCTAAACCCCTCAAAACCCTAAACCACATTAGCTCACATGAACCTTGCAACCAAGGTCTGCAAGTTTCAAAGCCTACGATCTCAGATCGGAGGCCTTCAAGCAATGCTTTAGAACCGGCAATTGGATAAGGGTTCAGGATTTAGGATTTAGGGATCTGGGTTTAGGATGTAGGGTTTAAGGATCAGGGTTCACGGTTTAGGGTTGAGGGGTTGGGATTTAGAGATTGGGGTTAGCGTTTAGGATTTCAGGTTTAGAGGCACAAAATAACCACCAATAATGGAGAACCCTGAACCCTAAGCCCTACTCCGTAAACCGAAGCTATCACTTGTAATTTGACAAGCCGGCCGCAATTCCTTTAAATCCGTGACTCTAAAACACCAAGTCACAAACTCTCTATCCTAAAGCCTGCACTCTCAATCCTAAGCCCCAAACCCTCTATCCTAGATAACACCTAAAGCCAAAATCCCTAGATGAACCCCAAAACTATACCCCTAGACCCTAAAGCCTAGTCCCTAAACCCTAAATAATTCCCCTACGTTGCCCCCCTTTAAGGTCCCTAAACCCTATATTATTCCCCTATGTATTCTCCCCCTTTAGGGTGTCTATGAGTCGGGTGCCTCCTCCGGCTGCTGAAGCATGCTGGCGGTCCAGGTTGAGACATCCACCCGGCCAAGCATTTCAGGAGACTCCCCTGGTTCGGCGTTATAAGGTATATGAGCTATAGTCTAAACTCTTAGTATCCCCCTTAAGAACACCTATAGTAGTTCCCTATATAATCCCCTATGTAACCCCCTTTAGGGAGTTTAGACTATGGCTCATATAGCGTTTAGGGTTTAGGGCTTGCATTTCAGGACACTCCCCTACTACCCCCATCTATACTATCAGGCCTAATTAAAGTTCATTAAGGGGGAACCAGGGGGGGGAAGTATAGAGGGGGGGGGTAGTATAGAGGGGTAGAACCCTAAACCCTAAACCCTAAACCATCTGTACGGAGAGCCCAGGTTCCTACGAAGGATTTGATCTTCACTCTCAGTCTGGCACAATACTTTCAGCCCTAGACCCTGGACGCTGACCCCAAACCTTCGCTATAAACAACGCCCCCAAACCCTCATCCCTGTTCAACAGAATCTCTACCAGCACTCCGTGTGCCCTAAACCCAGAACCCTCAATCATACACCCTAAACCCTAAATCCTAAACCCTAGACCCTAAACCCTAAACCTCGGGGTCAGTAGAAACCGGGCCTCAGGCATCTAACCAATCCGAGCCTTGGGGGGGGGGGGTTCATCCCCATCCCGCTGGAGTGGACCTACCCAGACCCCTGGGAGGATTTAAAAGTTAGATCCCCTATATAGACCCACTATAACCCCTATATACTCCTTACATAATTTCCCAGATGGTTATAGGGATATAATTTCTAGATCCCTGGGTAGTGCACTTACCTCTGGTACCTGATCCGTGTAGAAAGTGATCTCGGCGGTGTGGTCAACTGTGGGGGGGTTGCACCACATCTGGCAATCCTTTTATCAATAGGTTATACTTGTCCCTTAAGGTGTTTACCTGAGAAAAATCAATTTCGGGGACATACCGAAACTGCTACGGTCTTTGTGCGAGCTTAATCTGCACTTCGGTGACCAAGAGGTAATGATCTGATGGAAAACCAGTAGACAGTTTAGCTCGGCACCTATTCACAGATGAGAGCCATTGCTTCCTAGTGAAGGTGTGGTCTAGCCTCTGGTACCCAGACCCCTGGGAGGATCTAAAAATTAGATCCCCTATATAGACCCACCATAACCCCTATATATTCCTTATATAATGTCCCAGATGGGTTTAGGGATTTAATTTTTAGTTCCCTTTGGGGGTCTGGGCACCTAGCAGGCTTAGGTGTGATGTACTCTTAGGAAGATGGAAGTGGCTCTGGCAGGTCCAGGAATGACCTAACATGTGCAGAAACATCCAATGCTACATGCAGTGATTCATTCTGGAGCTTTGCATGGAATTGCTGCATAAGTGATGGGTCCAACAGAAACTGAATCCAATCTGTAGGAGGGGCTGTCTTGTCCTTGTATGTTCTCTGCTGGGCCTGACTGGGGGTCTTGTATGAGGCAACCTCAACCATGTCCAGGAGTATCATGTTCTTTCTCATAGGGACCTATTGGAAGTGGCGGTGTCGTAGATGAATGACGTACTGTTTACCACAACTGTACAAGGAACCTGGGACAACTGAATTGCAGGACGTGGGCGGTACTGGATGTACTCGAGCCAGCGTATGAGGTGCCGCGCCTGCAGCAGTTCACGCCGCAGGAACTCCTCTCGATCCTCGACTCGCTGTGTGTCACGGAGCCGTTGTATGGTTCAGCTTCTCGAGTAATTGCAATCATGTCGCAACCAGTTGAGGTCTGGAGCATACAGGAGGAACTTGGGCTGAGTGATGCCTTTAGGCCGTTTGTCAGAACCACAATGCTAGCCTGTGCCACAATTAAATACGGTCATCAGTGGCTCCTCCAACCCTAAGGCCCTAAGGGTCCAAGGACCCAAAAAGTAGGGCTTAAGGGCCCAAATACCATTTTCCCTAAAACCCTACTATTTGGGTTCTTGGTCCTTTATATAGTCCCCATATATCCCCCTATAATCACTTTAAAGGAACCCTATTATTTGCGTCTCTGGACCCTCAGGGTAAGTGGTGGGCTTAGGCCTTGCCAACATCCACATGGGCTCGCAGGACCATCTTCCAACTGTTGCGCGGAGGTTTAGGGTTTAGGGAATTGTTTACCCAGACCCCTGGGAGGATCTAAAAATTAGGTCCCCTATATAGACCCACTATAACCGCTATATATTCCTTATATAATTTTCCAGATGGTTCTAGGGATCTAATTTTTAGATTCCTTTGGGGATCTGGGTAGGGTTTAGGGTTTAGGGTTTGTCAACGACCACAAATACAATAGGCCTAGTACAGGAATACTAAATCTTACGTTCTAATCCCGAAGCCCTAGATGCTAAGGCCTAATTAAGCGCAAATCCTGAGCCCCAAGCCCTAAAGCCTACAACCTACGTCCTAAACCCTAAAACCTAAAACCTAAACCCAAAACTCTTAAAGCCCTAAATCCTAAATAAACCCCACGTCCGAACCCCTAAAACCTAAATCCTGCACCCCATATCCTAAACCTTACGCGCTAAAGCCTAAACCCTAAATCCTAAACCCTAGATCCTAAACCCTTCTGAAACTAAATCCTGAATCCTTCCGAAACCTTAACCCCTAACTCCTAAATCCTGAACTCTAGATTCTCAACCCTGAGGCTTTAAGTCCTCCATTCTACATCCCAAAACCTAAGTCCTAGATCCTAAGCCCTAAGCCTTAGACCCTAAATCCTAAATCCCAAACCCTAAGCCTTGAAACCCTAAATCCTAAATCCTAAGCCCAAGGCCTTAAGACCCTAAACCCTAAATCCTAAACCCTTAAGCAAACAGACTCTGGCCTTGCTTGGTAGGCTCGTTGAGGGCGAGGGCCCGGAGGATCTCAGAGCCCCCCGCTTTGTTCGTCTGGTCACATTTCGAAAACACTCCCACTGTACGATCCTGCGGATGTGGGATTTGGTTTAGGGTTTAGGGTTTACGGTCCTATGGATTTTAGATTGGTTTAGGGTTTAGGGTCCTGCGGATTTGGGATGGAGGGTTTGCAGTTCAAGGTTTAGGGCTTAGGCCACAGGGACTAAGGTTTCGAGTTCAGGGCTTTGGACTCCAACCCCCACACGCTGCACCACGTCTGGGCCCTTTGTTCCAATCTCCTCCGGAAATAAGGAAGCCCCAAACATATATATATATATGTATGTATTCCTGATATATTGCCATGATATCATGGGAGCGCTGTTCATCATCTGGGGCTGGAAGGTTTACTTTTCGAGGCAGGGGATTCTACCTGATTGCCTAAAGTGTCTGAAAGGTAGATACAGGTGGCTGAAGTACCTTGATTTTGAGTTGCCCTAGCTAGAAGGCCCA